GGTTTTTCTAACAAATATACTTCAAATCATAAGCAACATTTTGGTGAAAGCCGATTTGAAAGACATCGATTGATTCAAGAGTTCTTCAAAAAGAATAGTCGTAAGGACAATTTTTGTCGCGACTGTAGCTCGGCAAACTATTAGCGAGAATGTCATGCTTTGCGTAGATGTGAACTTCTTAAAAAATCACTCGTCATTTTTCCGCCTGTAGTGGACAAAATACCTTTTCTCCCGGTCTGCCGCTTATACCAATCAATCCACGGTCACCTGAATATTCAAAATGAATGAAGTTACGATTTCAATATTTAGTAGCACTCCGTGTGCTTAGACAAGATCGACACAGACTAGAATATTAACGCTACTCTTCTGTCCTGATGCGCCAGGTTCACCCTGGGAATCTAAAAGAAAGTTAATTCTTGCATCAAAAAGCCTATACTAAGTTTAGTCGAACTGCTAACTAGAGGTCAGTTAAAAACACACGTAATCAGAACAATGTTAAGACAAGGATACAAATCCAAAGAAACCATTTTACCTGGCTCTCCATCCGTTCCTGGTTCGCCACTATCCCCTAAACAAAAACAACCTAAACACATGTCGTCATCACTGCCAGTGAGATAACCAGGACTTTTAGATCATACGAGCAATGTCCATTAGATCGAAAAAATCAACCACCGTATGATAATTCGAGAAAAGACCGCACAACAACACTTTGCTTCAAATATTTAGCTTGAGAAATTAAAAACTTCGAAATCTCATTGTTCTAGACTCATACCACACCGAGCAGTGGCACAATAGCACTTACCCCACTTACGCCGCAGACGGTCGTGTTATGAGTAAGGTGCCCTATACGAACAACAACCAACCCTTGGTTCCGACCCTTCTGATAATACCATTAGAAAAAGTTACTTATGTATTAGTGCCTCGACACCTTCGCAACTAAAAGAAACACATCGGGCTCCAGAGAGTGCGACTAGCAAGCACGCTTAGGGAAACGCATCACACTACCAGCCGCCCCGGTCAGTACACTCCCAACTTCTACTCCAATAAAAAGACAGACTCTTCCCGCAATAGTCACGTTCAGTGGCTGGTGTTTCCCGACTCACCTGTCCTGACACAGACACTTACCCTTTTGCCCAGCTGGACCTTGTGGACCCATTACACCTGGTTCTCCTTCAATACCTCTTTCACCTTAGAAAATAAGAAATTCTTTTAAATCTTGTTCAACAATCTGGTAGATAGATAAAGTTTTCCTTTTATTGAATGCGTAACGCTTTTCGTGCATATGGTCCTCCATCATTTTTCAAGATAGAAATTTCAGGTTGGTTTCAAAAAGTACAGAAATGTTTTTTCTATGTCATGACGTCGTTGGGTTTTTTTCCTTAAGTTTACTTCAGTAGAAATCTAAAACGTTTCCGAAAAGTAAATAAAATCTCTCTAACTTTTCCGAAACGTTTCAAAGGAGTAGAGGTAGAAAGACCCTTTCTTGGGCGCGAAAATTTTCGTTCTTTTTTTGACAGAACTGTGCGACGTCGTATTCTGATGAGAAACGTCTGCCCTACAAATCGACGTAATCAGAAAAAGGGTTTTTTGACTGCACAGGTGTCCAGGAAAGACCTTTTGTTTAAAGACCCCTTCGAAAGACCCCTTTTCGTACATATGGTTAATATTATAACTAACTGTGGTATGACGGCTATTTATACTCATGAAAGAGAAAATGATCCTTTGTGAACCTGAAGTATAGTTCACAAATAAAATAGAATACAGTGAAAGAAATACACTCTTTAAATTTGACAAGAGAGCACATATATATATTCTCTTAGTCATTATAAAAAATGAGAAGCACTTTGATTTGAGCTTGAATCACGTAAACTATACGAAAAAAATTAACAAAAGTGTTTTTGTGTCGCTTATATTAGAAACACATTATTAAGGGGTTACTTCACTCGCTGTTGTTCAAGGTTTTGTATTATTCTTATACAATGATGAACATAAACACTTTAAATAAAGAATTAAAGCCGTCTCTACTTGACGTATGGGAAAAGGTAAATATACGTACGTGTACCACCATCAATGAAGAAATCAGATGTGCTTGAAGCTCTTTTTGTAAATAAGTTTACAAACAGCGACACTTCCGGCATTAGTAGTAATAATAACCATTCAACAACAACTGTTAAACAATCAAAATTCTGATTTTGTCTGTGTCTGAAAACCTAAGATGTGATGACTCGGCGTGTTTACAAAGCAATAAAGTACAGGAATTTATCAATAAAAATGATAAAATGGAATTGATTAATCGAATACTAAATCAAAATGAACGAATACTTACTCAAAGTTCATTTCTTCTACCATTTCTTACATCTTCTAATTCGATAGAGAAAGAGAAAACACAAAAAAAAGTCCGAATCCAATCGCTGCTGAATTCAAAACAAATAAATCACTCTACAAAATTATGCAGGTCCCAGCACTCTACCAATCGTCGTTTGGACAAAGCTCGCTTTTCTCGCGCACGTGTTTATCTCCAAGAAGACTTCTCTGGGAATCTCGAAATGCCATGGAATATAGGTAATCGACTACAATGAGCATAGTAGCAACATTTGTTTTTGTGTAGAAATGAAAATCAGTTCGCCAGAGGCATTTTAATGAAAAACCAGTTTTTCGCCTGTTACTAGCTAAAACTAAAATCCTTATATCTCAATCAAATCTTATGCTGACTCAAAGAAATTTTCAGGAAACACTTGATCAACAATATATGGCGCCTTCTAAGTCTTTTTCAGGAAAGACTTAAAGACTAAGGACAGAGTTAAAAGGTTCCATATATTGTTGATCAAGTGTT